CCTATGAAGCGGTATATAAGTCTAACTGCTATTGCTATTGCTAAAAAACTGGAGGACCACGAGGCAGGTGGAATGGTTGATCTGACTCACCTGGAGACTAATTATTCCTGGACACTGAGGTTGTTCAAGGACGGTGTTGGCTTGGTCTGGGACCCAAAAAAATGCCCTTAAACCATGTTCTGACCTAGGCTTCCCAAAAGCACGAAGCCAACTCCTCGTCCTGATAAACCCCCTTTTTATTTAGTTTGAAGTGAATTTCTCTCCAGCAAAGTCCCAGCCAACGGTCTTTCAAGAGATTTCACAACTACAGACCTTTATCAGGCTTGGAGAGCTGCCAGGATGATATCTTCCAAATGCTACGCTGTAGCAGACCATACTTGGCAAGAAGTCAGGAAAACAGATCTTCACTCTGTTGAATGAATGGAGTCTCCTGAAAATTTCCTTCTCCTTTCACTCTTCTTTATTCCGTATGGGAGGGGCCATTCACGGTCTACCTGTGGCTTTACTCCCCAGTCGGCCCTTGTTCCCTAACTGTTCCTTTCTCCTGGCAGCTCTGTGCATGCGCACACTGGGAACAGGCTCCAGCTGTTCTTCTGCCCCACTGATGTCTGACTCCGAAGACAGCTGATAACTGTCAGACAGCCCTGGCCCAATCTCTGCCTCCTACGCAGAGCACTCATCAGAGCCTTCCCCAGACTCCAGGACTGGGCCATGTTCCTCTTCAACCTCCTCACTGTCCGAATCTGCTTCCAGATCCACTGGCTGCTGGCAGGCCACAACGAACAGCAGACTGTCTACATAGATACCTTTTTTCTCCTTCTTGGCAAATAGTAGTCACTGAGTAAAGTATGCTTTCCTCTTGCAGGCAGAGTATGGAGGAATGGTCACCGTATCCAATCTGACATATATAGCATATCGAGAGGACAATGATCTTCCCCTGATCTGTGAGGCCTTCAATGAAGCCATCATGTACACCAAGAGTGCTTCAGTTACTCTTAGAGTAAAATGTGAGGATGAGTATGGGAACCCGCAGAGGATGAGTATGGGAACCCGCTTCTTTTCTCCCTCCTAATTGTTTTTTTCCCCTCCCTATTTTTTTTAACCCCAGATCCGCCTCAGAAAATTTGGCTTAATGTGCCACCACCAGAGACATATTTTCGAGCCGGTGTTGAAATCAAACTCATTTGTTTTGCCAGCGGTGGGAACCCTTTGCCTCGTCTTGATTGGTACAAGGTACCCCAAGCACTTGAACATCCTCTTCTTGAGACCACTGTAAGGAGTTTTAGGGAAGACTAAAAGACTCCATTAGCATTGGTCGCACAGTCAGCCGGATGTTTAAAGCCTGGATTTGGCATTTTTATGCACCTACTAGCTGATAACCCAGTGTTGCCGGGGTATTTATTTACAGGGGGGAAATGTCTGGACCAAACGTAATTTCTAATGTAGGATTTCCCCCCTTAACATGGCAACTCCCCTGCGCTGTACACTAGAAGCCATTTAAAGGCACAACAGGCTGCATCTTAACAGAAAACACACCCCAAGGTGTTTTAGTATTTGTCTCCAGAGAGTAAGTCATCAGTATACCAAGTTTGGTTGAAATTGTGCCAGGCATTCCAGAGTTATGCTGGAACACACACACACCCCACACACCCGTCTATATATAGAGAGTGATACCATGGTTATACCATCATTTTTCAGCCTTGGCAATTTTAAGATATGTGGACTTCAACTCCCAGGATTCTCCAGCCAGCATTCTGGAGTTGGAATTCCACACACATCTTGCCAAGTTGCCAAGTTTGAAAAACACTGGTTTAGACCAATGAGCGATGAGCTTCTCTGGTTCATTTAACAAGTCATGCTTGAAGCAAACCGAGGCTTAAAGTGATGTTGGTGTGCTGTTTCCATTCCAGAGTTGATTTGGTAATCCATCTCCTGTAAAGTACTCCAGATCAGACCTAGAATGACAATCATTGACCCAGTTTTTACATTTCAGGTCAGCTCTAATCAGTCTTAGGCAAAGCTGCGTGCCTGATTTGGAAAAAAAAAAAAAGGCCAAGAATGAAAGTTGCAAACTTCCCTTTGCCTGGAGCTCATTTCCTATTATCAGTTCCTCCTGCAGGCATTTTTCTTTGAGCCAGACTTAGATTAAATGAAAAAAAAAAAAAATAGCAGAAGAAAATAGGGGAAGAGTCCTCCACTTACAACCAGAATTGAAACTGGAACTTTGTTAACTATCTGATTTTATGATTTTTTTCTTATCCATGGTCATTAAGCGAATTCGGCTTCCTCCATTGCCTTGGCTGGTCATAAGCCCCCTGGGAAGGTCGTACATGTGGATCACATGACCATGGAGGGCTGCAACGGTGGTAAATGCATACCAGTTGCCAAGTACCTAAATTTTGATCATGTGACTGTGGTGACGGCCCTCTGGAGGCTTCTGGAAGACGGAAATTGGAAGTTTGGGAACGGACATCCAGTTTGCGCATCCGGAGGCCTCCTGAAGCCTCTGGAGGGCGAAACACGGCCCAACGAGCAACCAGGAAGTCCATTCCTGAACTTCCGGTTTGCATATTGGTCCATTTTCCGCCCTCCCCAGGCTCCTAGAAAGCCTCTGGAGCCTGAGGAGGGTGAAAAACGGACTTACCGGGTCCATCGGAAGTCAGAAAGCAGGCCTCTGGGTAGCGAGAGCAGCCATTTTCGCTCTCCCCAGGCTCCAAGAAAGCCGTGAGCACGTGCGCAAGGCAGCATGTGGGGCTCATGCACTAATACGCAAGAAGCACGGCACAGGGGGGCATTCAATTATGGGGGTGGGCATGCAAGCACTTGGGTATGTGCTTTTGGCACCAAGGTGAAAAAGATTTGCCATCACTGGTATAGACAAAACAAACTTAGTTTTCCTAAAACAAGCTGACTTTTATCATTTGCAGGTGACGTGCACGCTTGCTGGAGGAGTTCGAGTACAGCTACGGCAGCCTCAGGAGAGTGGAGTTTCGAAACCTTGTCTGGGGAAGCAAGTGAGTGAAAAATCCAGGGCTGGAAACCAAATGTGGCTTTGAAGGCCACCCCACCCCTCACTCCCCAGTGTTCTGGTTGGCTACTGGGGGCAGGGGCAGGAATCAATGCTCCTCCTTGTTATGAAATCTTCTTTGATTGTTTGTTGTGACACCCACCCTACATTTGCTTTGATCCCTTTGTCACCTTCAATCATGCAAAATTGGAATTTGAGCACAGTGTTCTCAAACTATTGATGGCCTTCCAGTTCTATTCTCATATCTCCACTGGCCAAAATATGCACAAGGACTTCAATGAGAAGCCTGTTCTGAACCAGGGCTCTTAAACTGTCAGCTCCTGGAAATGATGTGACATGATACTGGCATGTCAAGGAATATCCCTCTCGTCCTTGTCTAGGCAGTAGGGTTGTCTCTTCTTCTTCTTCTTCTTCTTCTTCTTCTTCTTCTTCTTCTTCTTCTTCTTCTTCTTCTTCTTCTTCTTCTTCTT